TGCTCTATTACTATAAGTGTCATAACACAGTATTATTGCCTGTGTGATTTTCGAATGACATACTTCATACGTTTCATGATGATACTTGATGGTACTCAGTGTGTGTGTGTATGAGTGTGTGAAAAAAGGCTGTTCGTCAAAGAAAATTATTCCAAAAACATCCACTTACTGTGTACAACAGAGTATCCATAACCAGTCAGCCCATAACAAATGAAAAGCTGTCATTATTCGAACACAGTCCCTTTTAGTCAAAGCCACCTTTAAGCAATTAAAACCCTTCAGAAAACTAACAACTCACACATTAACAAGACCAGACATATGACCTGACACATTGGTGTATTGACAGAGTAAGGTCACTCCTTCTTTTAACACTCCCCAGTCTTCTTATAAACTCCCCAACTCAGCACTTTAGCTAAAGGGGGTTCTGTTTAACTCTCCAGCCCCAGGCTGATCCATGAATCTGCGTGACCTCTGCAGGATGAAGCAGGGAGACATAACTCATCCAGGCAGCTTCAACAAGTCCTCTCTGTGTCCCCCCCCCCCCCCCCCCACCTCCTCCCTCGACCTTAAAACCTGACGGCAAATTTAGTGAACTCCTGAGTAATAAACTCTATCCCTTGAGGGCCGAGCTTCTCTGGGTTTAAAATGCTGATCTGGCATTACCGTGATACGTTTGACCATCTCTTTCATTATAATGCAAAAGGTGAAACGGATACTAGAGGGGTGTTATTATTCTAAAACCTTTGCGGAATATCTGCCCAGGAGACAGAGCCTGGGTAAGCTGACACAGCAGAGCAGAGCAGGGGATGGACAGTATAAGGATGGGGGGGCTTTGCAGAGAGTGAAGGCCTGGCATTGGTTGTTAACCCCTATCAACAAAACTTCCTAACTTTAGTAGACTCTTTCCAAATGCTGACTACTTTATTGTGATCTATTTGATTCTAATGAAATACTTTTGAGGTTGAGTCATTCTGAGTGGAGAGAGGAGAGTGGCATTCAGTGTTTGACAAACATTAACAAGATAACTGAAATAAAATACATTAAGAATTGCATTGATTGAAAGCACTGCATTCTCCGTAAGTGCCACATAGATGTCAATAGGTTTAAGGAATGAACTAGCAAGTGATTATCTTTATTAACAATGGGTTATTTTATAACTCATTTGATTAAAAACCAATATGTGAGCTACTCACGGGATAATCACACATGTTCATCCTTAGAACAACCTTGTTGATTACGTTAAATAAGAGTGAATATCTGTAAAGCATGGCTCCTAAGGCAAGTGAGACTTGTAAGAATTGTTTTAATACCAATCAGAGTGTAACTTAAGACTAATTTCCCATTCTTTAAACACTGCTAGAGCCCATACAGTGTCCCTTTAGAGTTCACTTCCTGTCTGTCTTCTTCTGCTGATTTATGTCCTCTTTTTATTTCTGGGGACAGTTTAGCAATTGTGAATCCAGTGTCTTGCCCCTATAAGTATTCAAAAAGTATTCAATATTGTTTTCTGACTGATGGAAACCAATTTATTTTTTATGGCGACAACTGACATTAAATTGACCAGACTTCTTTCTGCTGAGTGATATGACTGCAAACAGTCCTTCGATCAGAGCGTCCTAAGCCACCGTCTGCTAACTTTAGCAGCAGTCTGCAATCACAAAACAGCACTTTGAATGTCCTAAGTGACCAATCAGAATTGAGCATTTCATCAAGCCGTGTAACAAAACGCGGCCAAAGGTAGTTAGACACTGTTGCATGTGGAAAGTCCTGGGGCCTCATTTATAAACGTTGCGTACGCTCAAAAGATGGCGTCCACCAGTTTCTAAGCAATCTTTGTGATTTATAAAAAACAAACTTGACGGGAAAATGTGCGGTCCTCCACGCAAACTCTGACCCATGCGTACGCGGTACGCACTTAAACGGGAGAGACGAGAAACTTCGACACCGTTGGCAGAAGGAAGAATGGAGAGAAATATGTGGAAATAATACCATCAATTAAAATATTACCTCTCATGTATCATATATGAAGAAGTCATTTTCAAAAATGGATTAAAGCCAATCTTAAAATGATTAAACAAACGCCTGTTTGAGACTCCTCAGTGCACACACAAACATAACTTGGAGAAATAAATAAATACGGAAATGTTATTGATCACCCCTCGATTATGTTCTCTTGTTAAGAAATGTATTCTCATAAATGATGCGGTAAACAGAAGGACAGAATTACTTTAAACTGACGCCGTTTTGCTTTTCTCTAGGTTGTATAGATACGAGCATGGTTTATACTATCATGTTTAATCATGTTTTGATAATAACATCCAATACTTGATAAGTCGCTCATAAAACACCGGAGGTATGGAAACTAAGAACACCATATTTGGTCAATTGTACAGCTAATATAACACATTTGTTTTATTTCCTTTAACTGGTGGATAGAGTTGCTGCGGGGGGGTTGAGATGCAAAGGGTGCAGTGGAGACGCTGTGCACAGCTGGAACACAAACCACCAAATAAAAAAATAAAAATTCAGATCAAGTCGTCATGACTCCAATACTTTCTTACAGTTTCTCATCATGGGGGGGTCTCCTATCCCCGGCACAAACACACTGACACACTGCCTGAGGAAGGTTATGTTTATTTGTTTTGTCATTAACTTTTTTCGGACCACTTATTTATTTATTTTGGTGACAATCCGACCTCCATGCTGCTACTCTGGTTCAAACTGCATCCACCAAACAATGTGATTTGTCTCCACCTCCCCAAAAGAACGAACATCTGACACGGTGTGAGATGTCTTTTTTAGCTGTTCTGTCGTCATTTCCTGCGATCTTCTTCATGCAGTCAGTCAAAATGAATATTAATACAGGGCGTTTCTTTGACTATTTATAGGCAAATATGGGCGTTATGTGAGGCCTGCAAAAGCTGCGCCACATTTCGAGTTGATTGTGATTTATAAAGGGAAACCGGCGTAGGACGTGCGTGCGCAGTGTTTTATAAATCTGAATATTTTTGTGCGTATTTATTTGCTTTGTCCTACGTAAGCTACCTTCCCACGTGAATCCTACGCAAAGCTTTATAAATGAGGCCCCAAGACTTAACTCTTGTTTTTTACCAGATACACAAACCATCTGATGGTCGTAGGCCCTGACCTCGTGCCCTCTGCCCTCTGCCTGCTTCTACACATTCCATCACCTTAGCAAACGTATATATACACACACACATATGATTGGCTGCTGCATGCAACCTGACAGATTCCTGCCTTAGACAATTTGCAATGAAAGGCTGTTTTAAATGGCAACAGCACACACTTGACACTTAGAGCTCCAGGACTCAGCGAGTTGACACTACTGTCACCTGTTAGGAACACGCTCAGCACTTGTAAAAACCTGGGGACCAAAGCAGACACACAGCTGCCGCCTCTCTGACAGGAGGGTCGCATTGTTAACTTACACCTGTCCCTTAGCTATAAAATTCAAGGAAGCAAAGTAACAACATTGAACAGGCTTTAAGATGTACATAATGTTTCATGTCTATTTAGATCAATGCTATTGGTTGAGTTGTAAGAAGACACTCAAATTAAAGTAAATTTACCAGGACTGTGATGTGAGATGAAAAGTATTTCCTCAAAACAAAAAGGCAGTTTGAAGGTCATGTTGAGGAAGTATTTTCAGACATTTTCAAAAGATATGACTTTCTTTGATCCCCACAATCATCATGCACATTGAGAGATTGGGAAATCAATTAAAATGCTTAAGATGAGAGCTCAAACACTTATTATCTGTATATCGTGCCTGGTTATTAAAGATAGGCAGTAGCTGCATTAGACTGTCTCATTGTCAGTTATTTTGATGGACAGGGTCCTAAAGATATTGTCATAATATATATTTGTTTAATTGTATAAATGACAGTTAGACATAGGCTTACCATATGTAAAGTCTGTCATTAAAATCCAATAATGTTTGGAAAAGAAATCAGCACATTTCTCCTCACTGTCTGCGTTTTTTTTACATTGGAGGTTTTCTACTAAAGCTTCTGAACAAAGCTTTGAATGTCTGTAAATAATCTTAGAGGTGCAGCCTTCAGTGCTGCACCTCTAAGGCTGAATGCCAATAAAGGGATAAAAAAGGTATAAAGCACAATATATTGTTGGTTTTACAATTAACGAGAACTGTGAAGCTCACTGTGTGTGCGTCTTTCTTTCTTTCTTTATTATACAAACAAGTTCTGATTTTGCATTTAAAAGGGCATGGAGAGAAAACAGAGACCTTTTCATGTCAACACTCAGTGAGCAGAGTATGACATTTGTGTTCTAATTTGTCAAAATGCCGGACCCTCTTTAGATTATTCTGTCATTGTTAAAGGAGCCCTATTCTAATTTACAGGTTCATATTAGTATGTAGTGTCTCTATTGTGACATGTCTCCATGCTTTAATGTTCAAAAAGGTCTTTATTTTTCTCATACTGCCTGTGCTGCAGCACCTCTTTTCACCCTCTGTCTGAAACCAGGGCCCAGTCTGCTCTGATTGGTTAGCTGGCCGGCTCTGTGGTGATTCAACAGCTTAGAGATGTCCTCCACTTAGCATATCACGTACAATGTGTTGGAGCGCTAGCCGATAGAGTCGTAAGCGTGACATGGTGATGTCATTATGTAAAATAAGTAAACAAAGGACTACAATGGAGGCGTTTCAGGCAGGGGGGGGGGGTTCTGGAGTGAACTTGGATTTGAGCCTTTGCAGACCATTTACATGCACAAAAACCTATATAACACACTACAGGAAAGGGAAAACTAAGAAAAGCACGATTTGGCCACTTTAACAAATATATTTGGTAAATGCAACCTCTACTTAATCCTTATAAGAAAATAAGCAACTTGGTATACTTCTACAATGTATATGTTATGTGTATTTTTAAAACCTTGCTCGAATAATGTGTGCACATGTGTGTTATGAAAGATCTGTGCACTGTAACAAGTCAACACCCAGAAGAGTAAACAGGACTTACTGGCTACTTCCAGGGACGCGTTGTGACTGATGGCCTGGCCCAGATAGTTTCGGGCCACGCACACGTAGCTGCCGTCGTCGGGCTTGCTCCGTCGCCCGTGGATGATACGCAGGAAGAAGAGGGAGCCGCTGGGCAGCAGCATACGGTGGGAGCGGGGGTTGTCGCGGTCCGTCTCAACGCGCTCGCCGTCTTTGTACCATTCCACCGTGGGGGTCGGGCGGCCCTCGGCTTTACAGTTGAGAGTGGCTGGTTCCCCTTTGGACACAATGAGGTCAGATGGGTGCTCCACAATGCGGGGAGGGAAGTCTTCCTGGCGAAGACGAGACCCTAGAGGGTGCAAATAAGACAAAAGCAAAAGAGATAATTAGTTCTATGTTTTCACTTTACTGCCAAATTAGTTTTTTGAGACTGCATTTATCAAAACACGACAAAGACCCATAGGAAAAATCATCAAATGATCCTCCCATGCAATAAAGACTAGTACTAATCAAAACAGCAGCAGCTCTAAAGGAATTAGACACGGCGTGTTATTATTGCTGTGCAAGTGCCATGTATTAACATTAATCCAGTTTGACAATGTAATTACCAAACAATCGGAAGTCCCTCATAAAATGTTTTGCTTTTGTTTCAGCAGTTGGAACCCCGTGAGGCATTGTAAATTAAAAAAAACAGTGCTGACGTGTGAAATCCTCGGGAAGTTATATCTTTCAAAACATGTCTCGCCCTAAAACATGTGTTTGAACAAACATATTAATATGCAGTTTAGAGAAAAGCTTCAAGGGTGGATTATAATGGGATTACGGTTTTATCTGAGGCTCCACCGACAAAATACGTGGGTGGTATTTGTTTTATTAATTTAAATGTTCACTAGTGTCTGAAAGTCCACAAATATATTATGATTTTTACCAACGCTCTCTTTTCTATATGGTTCTATTTCTCGTGAAATATCTTTTAAAAATCTACTCATTCCCAATAGTCAGTCATGTTACATTAATATCTTCTAATCTGTCTTGATACGTATACGTTTACACACTCTGTATATGGCATATATTATTTGTATAATTGTATTCATAATGTGAACATTGCACGTCCCATACACATATTGTTGTATATTTTCATAGTATTTTTTATGAAATGTATTTGTTTAGTTTTTTTTCCAACACATCAATACACCAAAGCAATTTCTTGTATGTGAACACTTTCTTTGCCATTAACAGGATTCTGACATGGAAAATGTAATCATAGCCTTTATGTAGCTGTTCCATAGTACTGGTATTTTAAGCAACAGAGAAAAGATACCTTTCCTCAACAGGAGCCATTACTCCCTATCCTCTTACCTTACTGGAGTATACATTTATTTATGCTTTGAGTTTACCATTTGAAGCCATTTTGTCAACAGTCTCTGAAATTCTTAAACCTGCTATAGAAATACGAATCAATACCTCCATCCCTGCCCACACTAACAACCACAAAATCACCTCTAATGCCTTATACACTGCTGAGATGTCAATCACGCTGGTCTTCTGAAAGAAACTGTGCAGCAATGAGTCCCTTTGAGCCAGCGGACAAAGCAAACCTCCCTAATGAGATCCAGGTACACAACTCCAATGCACATCTTACATTCCTTCCATCTCTTTCCAATCCCCCAACACAGCAAATCCAGCCCACCTCCAACCCTGTCCACACACTCACTCATTTTCTCCCCTTTTTTTCTCCGGTATTGTGTAAATATGTAAGACTCTAGAGTAGATTCCACAAAACAAGCTACATGAGTTACTATTTGTTAAATCTAGATCCAATTTAAATGAATTAGTCCTAAACCCAAAATGGGATTGGGTTTCGAACAGCAAACAACCCAAAAAGGAGAGAAGAGGACAAAGAGAATGTGGCATTAATGTAATTGACTGTTTTCATGTTTTATTACTGTGTGTCTGCTGTCTTTTCATGCCTACTGCAAACACTATCTCACACAGCCTCCAGCAGGTCAGGCTTTAATGTGCCGATGGCCCTGTAAAGCACATAATCGCCACCGTGCACGAAAGTGATGAGCTCCTACGCTCCCTCTGCAACCAATAAATCCCACACAGACAAGTGTTTACCCGGATAGATAACACCTCACACATTGTGGAAGGGGTGAGAATTTGATCCACTGGTGACATGTATTGTTGTACGCAAAGCATTATTAAGGAAAATATTATTCAAGAGGTGGAGGACAACCCTCTCACTTCTGCCAAAAGTGTTTAATAAGTGTGTGGGCATAGCATAAAACACTGAAAAGGTATGACAAAAGCATTACTTGCATGGTAGCATTGTCAATAAATGGACTGCTGAGATAAGGCCTTACTATTAAAATCAATTTAGTTACAATTTGTTCCTTCCATTTGCTTCCCTTGTCTGCCTTTCCTTTAATGCTGACATGAATTAAATCCAGCTAAAAGGACAAGTGCCAAGATGTTGTTTTGCACAGGCAGGTAATTACAAACCTACAAATCCTACTCAGAAACGCCCACACCAATTATTTTTTTTAAACAAAAGCACCAACAGGAGTTTATGTATTGGTCAAATTTGAGATGTTGTGTCAGGCAAAAACACGAGGAAATATAAATCAGACCTTATCAGGAAAGTTCACACAACGTACATTAATTCCCATTTACCCGTAGCATACATAGCTATGCAGTTGGGTATTTATTTGGCATATTTTATTGAAGTTATCCTTCTGAGAAGTCTAAATCTCTGCTCTGTACAGCAAGCTTACAGTATATTCTTGTTAATGTTAACATGCTGATAATAAGCCAGAAATTATTATCGTAATGTAATATCTAGTAAATAGCACAAAAAATATTTTGCAAATGTTTCGTAGTTCACACAATTTGGCCCTAGATGAAAGGTCAGACTCAAACAAACTATTAAGATTCATATTTAGAAACCAACATCACTGAATTACCACAATGACATTTTCACGCTTTTTTTCATACAAAAATGCAAGCGAAATTATGCAAATGTGGTGAAATGAATCTTTAACAGCACTATCTATAAGAGCATACCAGAACAAAGTTATTATCTGCAATACTAAGACCTATGATATGTTATTTAGATATTTCCCCCCATGCTGTATGTCAGGGCTTAAAAATAAGCATTGCCCACTTGCCCACAAATACAATGGGTAATAATAGGGTAAATCGCTCAAGTAGCTGTGACAAAAAACATGCATGAATATTTCATTCAAGCACAATTGAACATGGTTTGGATATTTAAACCCATAACAGAACAATACAAACAAGGTGGGCACTGTTTGCCTACGCTTCCTAATTGTGTTGGGCTGATGCCTAGGGGTCCATTCAGCTCCCTAAGCCCCCTGGCATAGCAGAAAGGCAATAGCAGCCCCCCACAAGTGCCCCCCCCCCACCCAGAAGACTAGGCTTTATCTGCAAAGGGCCAGCAGCCAGCACAATCATTATACAAAAACATGCACACAGATGCACAATGAAGTACATACATACACACCAAAGGTCATGTAGCACCTGTGCCGCCACAACGATGTATTTTTCTGTTAGTCATGCCTCAGGCAGTTTTGTTGGTTTATGAAAATCTAGAGACAGACGGAGAATGCAGCCAACAAACATAAAAGCAAGGAGCATGTCTGTGTAGTCTTGTCTCAGTCAGTGTGAAATAAGGTGGGTAGAGAGTATTTTTTCTCTTCAACAGTGCATCTCTCCAGAGAATCAACTGAAATGTGCAAGAAAATATGTTGGAATAACAAGCTAGGTATTTTGTATTTTATTCAAGTAGGTTCTGTGAATATGTGAGTTTGAACAGAAGGCATGGTGGGATCAATTCTAGAAAGAAAGGAGGAGGAAATGATGCACGCTGAGAAAATTAACGCCACTAATTATTTTAACGCGATTAACGCATGTGTATTTTTTGTCCTCGGCCGCCCCGTAGATTCAGAGCGCATCGAGTTTAAAATACCATCTACAAGCTGATGCTGACAGCCCCGCTCCTGCCGCCCGCTTGTGGCAGACCACACTTCCACGCTCACCGGCAGGCCCGGACTGGCCATCGGGAGGACCGGGAGGGTGTGTGTGGGGCGAGCGAGGCACTTACGTGTTGTTGTTGTTGTTAGCATCTGGTGCTAGCTAGCTGCGCTAACGGATATAAGGAGCTGTTTCAATGAAAACAGAGGAGCGACATTTCGCCGACAACTGCGCCGAGCACTTGACTTTATGCAGGTAGCCAGACAGTGGGACATTGTACGAAAAGTCAGCACACTCAGCACGGATAGTGCGCGCAACATGATTGCAGCACCCTCTAAGGTACATTTAGAACAGATAAAAAATGTGCGATTAATTTGCGATTAATCGCGATTAACTATGGACAATCATGCGATTAATCGCGATTAAATATTTTAATCGACTGACAGCCCTACTAATAACACAAAGTGACAAATATGAGTGTAATTTACTCCAACGTTGGTGGTCTTGGACCGACCTCCCCTAGTGTCATTTACAGTACTGTGCCGTATATATTTATAATGCATGAAAGGAGGCTATGCCTACTTGGAACCAAACCAAATAAATATACAGAGAAAATATCCAGTATCACAATCAAATTAGCATGCTGCACTGAGGTCAAGCTAGCTGTCAGCTTAGTATGAAAAATGATCCTTTCCAAAAGGTAAAACACTTCAGAGAGCCAGACAGACACATGGACACCCACCGTGATACACATGTTAAAGATGCACCACTTACTTCCCTTTTTGAAGAATTTTCTCTTCATGGTTTCCAAAATAAAGTATGAGAGGAGCAGATTGTGACATTTATGAATGTATAATTCAGTCACCCTTTAGTGCAGCAGCTGACAGCTGTGTGGCACTATCAGCTTGCTCAGTGACTCTGACACCAAGCCCAACAGAGGCAGAGTGGTGAAAAATGGTAAATCTCCACCCGAAGTAGTGTGGGATTACCTGTGCCCGAGTGCCGCTCTGGAAGAGTAGCACTCAGGGTAATAACGGCAGGCAGATTTTGTTGGAGGCTTAGCAGTGCAAAATAAATGGAACAGCCATGTCTTGTTAGGGAAATCCTTTTGTTTCAGTCTGTCAAAGTCATTGAGTTTTCTTTCTTTCTGACCCATGGGATAGAACACGGATCAGGCCACACTTTTAATGGCAGGACAGAGCTTTACAGAAGCTTCTGATCAAAGCAGTATTCTTACAAGTCAAATGACACCACGAGTTTGAACCATAGACTGTATATATAAACAGAACTATCCAAGACCAGCCATCGAGAACAAAAGTATAGCGCCAGCCATTGAAGCAAATAACCTTAGTG